CCAACATATTACCATGGGGGACCGAAACTACATAAAAGAACTCATAAAAAGCGCACCTTTCACCTTTCCGCCTCCAAAGGGATACCACCGCTATCGCTATCGCTCACCCACCGCAATAGCTGACACACCGCAAGATACTTCACAACGCCTTTTCGCTCAACAAATCTCCTTCCACAACCTCGATCCTTCACTCAGTATCAACCTTTGCTCGTAAATCCTTCCACACTATCAACCACAACAATGAATGAAAAATCCCCAATTTAGTTTATGTACAATAAAAAAACCCTAATTACTTTATTTCCCCAATTTCAAAAATCTAACCCCATTTCAAATTCGCAATTCTGGCTGCCACGTCAAGTAAGTTAAGCCAACTCACTGCCACGACGCAATTTATTGCCCAAATCACATCCACAGTCACAAAAACGTTATCAATTTTAACGCCGTTAACTGGATAGGATATAATTGATACAAATTTTAAAACATAGGTACCCAATGCCTACATTTTTAAAACCGGGTACTAAACAGAAAATTATCTCCTAACATGGGGACTAAGTAAGCATTTAAGCCTAAATTCAAACAAAGCAACCTTAAAATATATTAAAATTAAAAGTAATATACAAAATAATAAAAATGAACTAATTTCTTTGACACTATGAATAAATAATTTGATAATTAAATTAAAAAAAAAAAAGTATAGTATTTAAGAGATGCTTAGGGTCGTAAATGAATTGGGAAAAAAACCGAACATCAAGCGTGAATCACCCACCAATGTTGTAACGTGAAAGCGATGAGAGGTTACGTGTTTGGGAATCGGTTGTCGAAGAAGAAGTTGAACGGTTTGAAGCAGTAAGAATGGCCAATACTCTATTTATACATTTTCGTTATACATAGCCCTATATGTACACTCCAAAAAAAAAAAAGACTACTTGTTGTGCAACACTACACAACAAAACCATCACGTTGCAACAATTTGTTGTTCAAACAGGAATAGCCGTTTACTATTCTTCGCACACAGCAGAAGAAGCAGGTTCAGGTTAAGGTTATTTTTCCAAATCTTTATCAACTTATATTCCACGTAACAAACGTTTTCGATTCGCGTGTTATTATTCTGAAAATTCTCATTCGTTCTTATCCTTACAGAGGAGCCGTTTCAAACAGTTTCACCTTGTTCCTCTCGCAACAGTTACCGTTTAATTCAACGCAGATTGATTTTCATACTTAAGCAACCCGGAAGGGTTAGCACCAGAAAGAATCAAACTTTTCATCGGATTTGGCATCAGGGAGAGAAGGGTCGTGCAGAGGAACACGTTTGGGCAAGAGGGTGTTGAGAGAAAGGTGTTTCTCAGTGATGGTGACTTTAGCCCATGGGAGAAAGGAAGGGCAGGGAAAGAGACTTGGGAAATACGAATTGGGAAGAACACTTGGAGAAGGAAATTTTGGAAAGGTCAAGTTGGCAAGGGACACTAATTCTGGGAAGCTTTTTGCTGTTAAGATCCTTGAGAAGAGCAAGATCATTGACCTCAATAACACTGATCAGGTATGTTTCAATCACTGTTTGTACCGTAACATTTTCTTTTTACTCTGTCCTATTATGTACTTTCACCAATTGCAACTTTTCAAACTTGGTTCTGTCACAATTCATGGCTTTTAAACTATGTGGTGGTCCTATAATGCAATTGGTTCTGTGTTTGTTTTTGCAATTTTTGTGCCGACTTTTTGTTTGATTGCATCATCACTTCTCTCTGGTTCAGTGACTTGTAAATTCTGATTGAAACATAACCTATCAGTTTTCTGATATATTTTTCATGGCAGATAAAGAGGGAGATATCTACCTTGAAGCTTCTGAAGCACCCTAATGTCGTCAGATTATACGAGGTAAAATCCTAATCCAATGATCCACTCTATAACTTTAATCATAGTTAAGTTTTGCATTTTATTTTCATTCTCCAAAATTTTCTGGGTTTTGAGTTGATCCCCTCGTGGGGCACTGTTTTTGGTTTATCCCTTAATCTCTGCTATGTTTTTGGTGTTCTTTTTCTTTGCCAAGTGTTTCATTATACGTGTAAAGTGAAGTAAAGGCTTTTTGAAATCATTGATTCAAGAAGTGCTCCTATTTTTGATGTGTTGTTTTGGCATTTCTCCACTTGGTCAAGAAAAGTTACCTTAGCTTTTATTTTCTTCATGAAAACTTGTCCACGAGATTATCGGATCTGCAACTTGTACACTTTCTTCACTTGTTGACGTAATCAGAATATTTAAAAGAAAATCGCATGATTAAAATCTAAAATTAAAATAATTTTAAGACACTAGACGAAAGCATTTCATTAATCATTGAAAATGTCATGAGTGAAGATCCAGCCAAATCTCCCGGCATGGGTGTTCCTTTTCCCCTCAATTATTGGTTCGCTTATGTACTACACTTTCCCCACATTTTTGTGTGGTGAACATTCTATGTCTTTTTGGCTTAATTCAAGTCATAATTACCCGTTATCTCATCTTAAAATTCTCAATTTATGCTTTGAAAAGTAAAAGTCCATGGCCCAAGTTAACGGATTATTGGATAATACAGCTATTTATTTTTATTGGTTTAATTTATTATTTGAATTAGGAACCCCACTAAGATGATTCCCTTTTGAAAAGGGGTAAAATGAAAAGTGGAGGTGGGGTGAAGCTAAATTATGTCTAGAATCACGTTTGGATATTGGAATCGAGTTTTGCTTTCGTGGCTTTCAAAACACGTTTGGAATCTAGTTTTGCTTTTCTATGCCTTTCTAACCTTGAACTATACACTCTTTTGTGTATACTTGATGCTTCTAATATTATTCTACGTTTTCTTTTCGCGTTAAAATTAGCTTGTGAAACAAGAATTTTATTTTATTTTTTTATATACAATTGAACAATTAGAGGTATTTTTATTAAGTTTCTGGAATATAAATCATAACTTAATGCATAGGGGTTCTCATGCAACCATCAAGAGCAAACATTTAGTAACAATACTAGCCATAACATAGATATATGTCTTTGGATTTCTATCTTTTCATATAGTTGTACATTATTAGTTTAAATCAGAAGGCCCCACCATGTAGCATAAATGAGAGTTGCGTATTAAATTGTTCAATAGTACATTCTATCTTGTATTTTTCTTTTTCAGTTATTAATCATTGGCCCATAGATTTTGTCATTATTATCATTTTTTTTAATCATCATTATTATCACAAATAGAATAACACAGAAACACTGCCTTTTAATGTCATTACCATATATTTTATGCATAAAATAACATTCTTCAGACCAGATGGTCTCACCATATATGTATATATATTTAGTATGTATACAAATAAGACATGTTATACCATAAAGTGTTTTGAGACAATTTCTTTTACATCTAACACAAGGTTTGGTAAAAAACATTTATCTTGTATATCTGTCCTGCTTTTTTAGAACAAGAATGAGACACATGCTTAAACTATTAGGTTATGTTTTGTACTCGCAGGTCTTGGCTAGCAAAACCAAAATTTACATGGTACTTGAGTACGTGAATGGAGGAGAGTTATTTGACAAAATTGTAAGGAACATTTGCCTGATATTATCATTACATGATGATTTTTATATTGCCTAATGAAATGGCAATCAATGAACTATTCTTGTCTTCAGGCATCCAAAGGTAAACTTGAAGAAACTGAAGGTAGGAAGATATTCCAACAGTTGATTGATGGTGTGAGTTTCTGCCACAATAAAGGTGTCTTCCACAGGGATCTTAAGGTATTTTGTTTGTCTTCTTAGAAACTGTTATAGTAGTATCTTGGAGCTAGAATTGAAACTATGCTCCATGCTTACCAATTTTAGCTCATTTTTTCACCAACTGATAACTTGTTGCAGCTGGAGAATGTTCTTGTCGATGCCAAAGGGAACATAAAGATAACTGATTTTAACCTTAGTGCTTTGCCTCAGCATTTTAGGGTGAGATACAACTTCCATGAACCATACCTGTTAAAAATAACACATTATTATCATTGATATGACCACCATGGCTAGTTAATTTAGTTCTATATAAACATTCAAAATTTTTATTTTAGGATAAAGATCACTCCTTGTTTGCCTTTCATCATTCTGGTGTGATTGAATTGTGTGATAACTCTGAAAATTTCAGGATGATGGGTTGCTTCATACTACTTGTGGAAGTCCCAACTATGTTGCTCCTGAGATTCTTGCTAATAAAGGCTATGACGGTGGAACATCAGATATATGGTCATGTGGTGTTATCTTGTATGTAATTCTTACAGGATATCTTCCTTTTGATGACAGAAATCTTGCAGTTCTTTATCAAAAGGTATTCCTATATGATGCATTCCTTTTCTTATTTATATAGTTCAGTAGTTATATATATATATATATATATATATATATATATATATATATATATATGTATGTATATATATATATATGTATAACTAAATATCATTTTCTTTCCGATGAGGATGACAGATTTTTAAAGGAGACCTTCAGATACCAAGATGGCTATCAGCTGGTGCTCGAAACATGATAAAAAGAATGCTTGATCCAAATCCTAAAACCCGGATAACAATGACTATGATCAAAGAAGATGAATGGTTCAAAGAAGGTTATATTCCTTCAAATCCAGAAGATGAAGAAGAGGGTGTGTTCATTGATGATGAAGCCTTTTCCATTCATAATGCGGTAATTAACTTGGAGCAGTCAACAATTGTTACCAATTCTTCCTTAATTTTTTTGTCTGTAATATGAACAAGTGAACATTTGTATTGGTAGCAGTCACTTGAATCAGATCAAGGTAGTCCAACATCACCAACACTCGTCAATGCATTTCAATTGATAGGGATGTGTTCAAGTCTAGATCTCTCTGGCCTTTTTGAGAAAGAGGTGAGGATAAGAGAATGAAACATTTTACTGGGTTTTAACTTCTAGAACATTTACCACTTCCTAAGGTAGGTTCACTCCATGTAACATAGATTATACTGAATGTTTCAGGATGTTACTGAGAGGAAGATAAGGTTTACATCCACTCATTCACCAAAAGATTTGGAGGAGAGGATAGAAGACATTGTAACAGGGATGAGATGTAGAGTTCAGAAGAAGAATGGGATGGTAAGTACTATTATTGATTACTTTTGTTAAGGTTGTTGTGATTTATTATTAGTTTGTCTAAATAATGTCCAATGTTGGATTTCAGTTGAAAGTGACACAAGATATTGAAGCACAGAAATGTCTCGGTAGTCTTTTAATGATAATAGAGGTAAATGCATGTATACTCTGATGTCAACAGCATCATATATGCATTTTGCATGTATAATTTTTCTGACATTTTATCTTATTGTGAAACCCAATAGGTATTTGAAATCAGTCCAACATTGTATGTAGTAGAGTTGAGCAAGTGTTGTGGAGATGCTTCTGCGTATAGACAGGTATGTTTCTCATCTCTGTATGCTTCGTCCAGAAAATTCAAAATGCTAAAATGTAATTTTTTTGTTTTGTTTTGATGTAGTTATGCCAGAAGTTGTCAAATGAATTGGGTTTTGACCCAAACCAACAGATAGAGAGCTCAGAAATGATTGGCCTACTAAGAGAAAATAATTTGGAAGCTATAAATGTAGATGTGTGATGCTTCTTTTTGTTGATTAGGATGAGATGATGATGTAGATGTGTTAAAATATTAATTTTATATATATTCTATTTTTCCATGGCAAATGTCCATCTTTTTGTTGTATTTTGCTATATGTTATGTTATTCTCTAAAATGGTAAAACATATATAAACCATTTTAGGGAACAATTAATAACCAAGGACAAATTCCTTACCAAAGATGAGAAATTCCATAAATTACTAATCATATATTCCTAAGTTATGATTTGAATCCAAAATTTTAACCATAACCAAAAAAACTTTTAGCATCACCTATATCTTGTTTTAAGTTATTTAATAATGAGACGAGCTTTTTAGTTTTAAAATAATCGTATAATATAGATATATCGTATTAAAGCTCAGTTCATTATCTAAATCACTTCATCTCTCTAAAATCTCCGTTCTTTACTCTTTCTCTGCCTTCTTTCTAGAATTTCTTCTCACTGAGCTATCGGATCGACGATCAGGAGGTGCCCAGACGTTCACCGCGTTGAAGGCTTCTTAACTGACCGATCAATTTCTCTAGTATAGCGGGTAGGCTGTTCTCCTCTTTTCTCTGCTATCTTGAACCTAAATCATGCGCTCTCTGCTGGTTGCATGTGTTTAGTGTGTTCTCTTGTTCATTCTCTGTCTAATTCTAGCTCTAAGAGCTGTTCCTGATCACTTATTGGTGATTTGTAGGGTCCTGTTGAGTTTCCTTGCGGTGTAAGGTACTATAGAGGTGATCTAGCTTACTGGACTGTGAGTCTCTGAAGTAAGGGGAGATTTCCATTTGAATTGATTGTTTGCTAGATGTATGTATTGAGTTTGTTTGTAATTGTTGTTTGAGCTGAAATGTGGTAATTGTGTAAGTGAATTATGTATGCTTTGAATGTTAAACGATGAAACTGTGAAATGTGATTCTTGGGTTGACTTTAGATGGGAGGAAAATCTGTTATTGAGTAAGTTAGAAGGTTATATTCTGTTTTGGTAGCTGTTAGAGTTAAAGCTCAGTGTGTTAGTGGTGGTTTTAGGTCATTTTAGAGGAAGTGAGATGGTGAATTTGGGAATTAGAGGTCAGTGGCTCTTTTGGTTTGTTTAGGCATTATAGGTAAGTCATTTGTGACTTGTATGAGGCTTTTAAATGGTCAGAAACATGTGCAAAGTGTTAGATTTCGATTTGGGTCCTTAAGTGGTGGAATTGAGTGTTTTAGAGTATAAATTGGTTCATGATCTCTTTAGATTGGTGGTAGGCATGTTTAGAATCATTTAGACAAGTCTAATTAGGTGTGTAATATAATATAGGAGTGTTGGAAGTTGAGGAAAATAGTTAGAATAGATATTTGGTGTTTGAGTTGCATAAATCTGTAGAATTACGTTCTGCAGATTATGCAGACTCGCTGAACGAGTAGTTTCGCATAGCGAGCCGCTATGGCGAGGTGCTCTCTGCCAAGGGAATTCGCACAGCAAGTTGGTGCGCTGTGCAGATGACGCGAGAGGTTGCTCTCTGACTAGTAATTCGCATGGCGAATCAAGGCGCTATGCACCTGCTAGTGGTCTGAGGTTAATTCTAATTATATTTGAATAGCGAAAAGGACAACATAGCGAGTGGTTTGGGAGGGTTGGTCTCTGTTTGGGATTCTCGCATAACGACCTAGGTTCGCTATGCGAGAGGTTGAGGTCTGGTACCTCTGCGAGTTAATTCGCATAGCGAGACAAATCGTTATGCGAGTGACTCCTAGTTTCACTTTGCGAATCGGGTGCGTAGAGCGAATGATGGTGAGCATATTTCTCTCTTTGGTTATTTTATGGGTTGTAATTCTCTTAAACGTTGATACATCTGGTTAAGTATGTTTAAGGTGGATGGTAGTATATAAATATGTATGATTATGATTGAAATTACAAGCAACAATATGTGATTCAAGGGGATGATTGTAAGATCAGTATAGAATCTCTTGGTGAGATTCCAGGTTGTTTAAAGTAATTGCAGAGAGCTCAGTCTTGGGGGTTTTCCTGAAACTCAAATGGTCTTTCATTCTCAAGTAGAGAGGATTGAACCATGTGGTGAGGAGTAGCAGGAGGTCTTAGTCTTGAGGGCTTTCTAAACTGTTCTATCATATTATGATGTTGACTACTATTTATATATAGTTTTTACTATATATTTTGGGCTGTTACATTTGTTAATTGTTAGATTGAGCTCAAATTTTGTATAAGTTAATGTGTTCCTAAATTTTAAATATTAATTTTATCAAATTTCAAGAATGTATAAAATGTAGAAAAGTAGTGAAACATGTAACTTAATGTAATAGTAATATAAAATTCTAAAAATTGATACTTAAGATAAGAGGAATGATTGAGAGTGTAACATTTCATTTTAATAATATAAAAAAGGTTTAATCCTTTTTGACATCCCTATTTGTGCAGGATTGTCTCAGATAGGTCCTCGTTTTCTAAAGTGTGTCAAAATGGTCCTTGATTTTGAAAATTGAAATCAATTGAGACCTTCCCGTTAAGTTGGCTGGACGTCGTTAAAGAAATTTATGCGTGGGTTGCTGAGATGACCAAATGGTACTGACGTGTCATATTATTGTTGTTGACCTGGCTTAATGGTGAGTTTTTATATTTAAAAAAGTTAAATTTTTAAATCAAAACGCAACGTTTTGATTTTTAACAGAATAAATGAACGTTTTAAATGAAGGAATCCCTAAATTGAAGAAATCCCTAAATTGGTTGACGAGAGCGAGGTTCGTGTTGGAGGTTGTGGAGCTTGTTATTTGAGGGTATTTTGGTTCGACGCAGGTGGGTGGGTTTAAGAACGTAGTTGTTCGAAGACGATGTCAAAGGAGCATTCTTGTTGTTCGTCGACATGCAATGTGTGGCGGAAGGAGAACCGTAAGATGTGGCATTTGTAAGATGTGGCATTTGTAAGGAACTCGGCCACAACAGGACTTCTTGCACCAAAGCAAAACAAACAATTGATTTGAACTCTCAACAAACACAACAAAGTAACCCATCAACTCAACCAATCATGCCATCATCAAATCAGGAAGAAGCTGCAGTTTAAGGGGATAAATGAACAAATTTAATGTTTCTTTTTATATCTTTTTGTAATGTCTGTCATTTGAACAACAGTTTGGTAATCTTTTTGTATTAGACAGCAGTTTGGTAATCTTTTTGTATTAGACAACAGCTTGGTGATCTTTTTGTATTAGACAGCAGTTTGGTAATCTTTTTGTTTTAGACAACAGCTTGGTGATCTTTTTGTATTAGACAGCAGTTTGGTAATCATCAGACAATGTCATTCTGCTTTTATCAGTCTGTATTTTGATGTTTTATATTGGTTTCTTCACCTCTGCTTATCAATGAAATCAGTCTATTTCTTCACCTCTGCATATCAATGAAATGAGTCTATATTTTGATGTTTTATATTTGTTGTAAACTTTTGTCCAGATATATTTGTTCTGCATCACGTATGTTTATCTACATATTTGGGCATCAAAACAATAGGATCGCGATATTTTAATAACGCCAATTTGACAAAAATTTGACAACGTCACGTGTCAAGTTTTAATTGGTCAAATTTGTTGTAACCTTGGTGACCATAGTCAAATTTTTTAATTTTTTGGCATAAATCATGTTTATAGACTGGAAAGTCATGTTTGGGCACCCCATGATTGAGGAAATGAACAATGTTTATGAGATGAACAACTTAGATAAAGTCTTGAAACTTCTGCACCAAAAAATACACTTGTAATCGTTTACAGATGCTTGGTAAACGATTACACGAACAAAATCCAGGATTTGTACAGAAACTTGTACTGGAGGAGTCAGTTGTGGTAACCTAGGTAACCATAGTCAAAATTTTTATTTTTTTGGCATAAATCAACTGGTTTTCACTTGATTTTAGTGTTTAAGTGTGAGTATAGGCTGGAAAGTCATGTTTGGGCATCCCATGATTGAGGAAAGGAAAAATGTTTATGAGATGAACAACTTAGATGAAGTCTTGAAACTTCTATACCAAAAAATACACTTGTAATCGTTTACAGATGCTTGGTAAACGATTACACGAACAAAATCCAGGATTTGTACAGAAACTTATACTGGAGGAGTCAATTGTGGTAACCTAGGTGACCATAGTCAAAATTTTTAATTTTTTGGCATAAATCAACTGGTTTTCACTTGATTTTAGTGTTTAAGTGTGAGTAGAGGCTGGAAAGTCATGTTTGGGCACCCCATGATTGAGGAAAGGAAAAATGTTTGTGAGATGAACAACTTAGATGAAGTCCTGAAACTTCTGCACCAAAAAATACACTTGTAATCGTTTACAGATGCTTGGTAAACGATTACACGAACAAAATCCAGGATTTGTACAGAAACTTGTACTGGAGGAGTCAGTTGTGGTAACCTAGGTAACCATAGTCAAAATTTTTAATTTTTTGGCATAAATCAACTGGTTTTCACTTGATTTTAGTGTTTAAGTGTGAGTATAGGCTGGAAAGTCATGTTTGGGCATCCCATGATTGAGGAAAGGAAAAATGTTTATGAGATGAACAACTTAGATGAAGTCTTGAAACTTCTGCACCAAAAAATACACTTGTAATCGTTTACAGATGCTTGGTAAACGATTACACGAACAAAATCCAGGATTTGTACAGAAACTTGTACTGGAGGAGTCAGTTGTGGTAACCTAGGTGACCATAGTCAAAATTTTTAATTTTTTGGCATAAATCAACTGGTTTTCACTTGATTTTAGTGTTTGAGTGTGAGTATAGGCTGGAAAGTCATGTTTGGGCACCCCATGATTGAGGAAATGAACAATGTTTATGAGATGAACAACTTAGATGAAGTCTTGAAACTTCTGCACCAAAAAATACACTTGTAATCGTTTACAGATGCTTGGTAAACGATTACACGAACAAAATCCAGGATTTGTACAGAAACTTGTACTGGAGGAGTCAGTTGTGGTAACCTAGGTGACCATAGTCAAAATTTTTAATTTTTTGGCATAAATCAACTGGTTTTCACTTGATTTTAGTGTTTGAGTGTGAGTATAGGCTGGAAAGTCATGTTTGGGCACCCCATGATTGAGGAAATGAACAATGTTTATGAGATGAACAACTTAGATGAAGTCTTGAAACTTCTGCACCAAAAAATACACTTGTAATCGT